TCTTCTGGGATGTATCCGTATGTATAAAGACAGATAATGCCAAAGTCTTTTAGAAAACTAAAGTATAGCTAAGAGCATTATTAAATGATTCAGTCAAGTCAAAAAAGGATCATCAAAGAACCGACTGCTAACTCAAATAATGAAAAGTGTTAAGATTAACATACCTTTCAGATAAATACCTCAGATGGTGATCAAAAGAAATTGTGCCTTGTTTCTTTACCTGTTGTCATGTGAAAAGTACTAATTTTCTTTTCACAGTGACTAACTTATATACAGTGTTTGGTTTAAAAAGGATGACAATTGATGGAAACAAATTTGACTTTCATGTGATTAGAGTTTGAGCAACCCTACATTTCGTTAAACCATGTTTATTCAACTATATACGAGGTCGGTCTGAAAAGTAACAGCACTTATCTGTTCTCCAATGTGAGATGCATTGTCTAAAGTGAGGTCTTGCCATGGAATCAGACGATCAATCGGCAAGAGATCCTGCGTCATTTCATTTGCTCAGTGCACGAGAAGAGAAGAGGGTTTTGGCAGGACAAATCATCACTGCTTCCCCAACGACAATGCACCTGTTCAAAATGCCCTGAGCAGAGCATCTGTCAATTCCTAACTGAGAAGAACATTGCCATACTGGAACAACCACCCTGATCATGCTAAGTGTGACTTTTTTCTTTTTCCCAAGCTCAAGAGGACCCATTTTGAAAGCATGGAGGACATCAAGAGAGCTGTAACAACAAAGCTGAGGGACACTCAAGAGAAATCATTCTAGTAGTGCATAGAAGTATGGCAGAAAAGGATGGAAAAAGTGTATTAGACTCGATGGAGGGCCGATAAGGTTCACTCAAGTGTTGTTTTCCAAAGTTCGATGTTGTGAACTAAACGTGAATCTGTAAATAACCCAGACCTGAGCAGTGGAGAATATTTCAGGTGCATTGGAGAAATAACTGTGTCCAGAACTACTCGATGTCATCTTCTGAAAAAGGTTGGTGAAATCATTGAGACTGGTGACAATGCTTCCATTGACAAAAAGACACATACAAAAGTGTCTCATGCTACCATTGATGGTCCTGATGGTTGGAGCAAAAGTTGAGTTGTAAATAGATGACATCATTATCAACGCTTGAGATGCCAACAAAGAGGAGGAGATATCATGATTCCGGGATGGTATCATTGGAGATATCATGGTTGGGAGATGCCAACAAGGAAGAAGAGGTATCATGATTCGGGATGCTATCATTGGAGATATCCTGGTTGGTTCAATGTGCCTGATGGTATTAAAATGACTGCAGATGCTTATATAGCCAACCTGAGAGAACACCTTGAACTTTGGTTAAAAAAGCAAAGGATCACATTCAGGAAAACCATCATATTTATGCAAGGTAATGTTCCTTCACTTGCAGTACATAAAACTATACAGTACCTACAACATTTAGGTTTATGTGGGCCTTGGAAAATGAACTGGCTAGCCAATTCTCCAAACTTAAACTCGATCAAAAAATTCTGGGGCATTCTGAAGTGACAGGTTTACCAGAATAGATACCAATTTAGAAGCAAGGGGAACATGTGGCAGACAATAGTGAATGTATCACATGGAATTACATCAGAGGAGATCCACAAATTGACATGCTCCATGGACCAGCACCTTATCCATGTCATTTCAAGAAGAGGATCACAAGAAGAGGATCACATATCCCTTATCAACAAGCTCCAGTATTATCTTTGAACTCTGTGTACTTCTTGATTTCTATTTAATTCATGTCGATTACTGTGTGTATCCATACCAATCTGTATATGAAGCAATTAAAGCCTTATTTTCTTGTTTACATGAGTTTTAATTACACCTCGCTAATAATTTGGAACAGTTATAATTTAAGTAAATTAGATAAATGACTTTAGTTTCTGTGTATTTTTTCAGAATTTTACACTTTTAAGAAGGTACACACATATAGCTGTTACCATAATTATGTGAAAATTTTGTTAAATTCCGACATGTAGTTGTTGGACAAAATGAAAAATTGTCATGTCATTAATAATTTGAAGCACAATGTGGAGATTAAAATGAAAGGTGGTCTATGTGTGCCCCTTATAATATGTAGATTAAATACACCAGTTTAGGAAATTTGAAGGATAAAAAGCCAACAAAATGATATCAATATTTTCAATAAAATAGATATTTATTACATATTAACCTTTAGACCGAAACAAAATTTAAATTACAACATCCACAAGGTTTTCCATATCTTAAAAGATTTTATATATATATATATATATATATATATATATTTAAAAGAAAAACAGACCACTTTAAGGTACCATTACAATAATTTATTTCACCAGAGTCCTTTTAAAAGGATGCCAGATCATCAGATAGTACTTCCAACAACGAAATGAAACGAAAAATAAGAATGAATGATCCGGCGTCCTTTCAAAAGGACTCTGGTGAAATAAATTAATAATGGTACCTTAAAGTGGTATATATATATATATATATATATATATATATATATATATATATATATATATATATATATATATATAATAAAAGACTTAAACACTAATATTCCATGGTTATAATTTATTACCATGGAATATTAGTGCTTAAGTCTTTTATTATAGTCATACTCTGTCCTGGACATTGAGTTCTACCTGGATTCTATCCTCTTGGAAATTTGATATATTTATATGTATATGTATGCATATATAATTATATATTTTATATATATATATATATATATATATATATATGTATATATGTATATATGTATATTAACCACTAATATTATCTATCTATCTATCTATCTATATATATATATATATATATATGTGTGTGTGTGTGTGTGTGTGTGTGTGTGTGTGTGTGTGTGTGTGTGTGTGTGTGTATTTTTTATTCTACAACTCTTGTTTTTTGGGGACACCAAATTAGGTGACCAACACAACCTGTGGTGTCTAAAGTTTCTTTTTATCCACCAAGCTGGATCTAAAATCCGAAATCTCATATAGTCAACATATCCACACAGAAGGTGAATGCTCTAATCAAAATCAGCAAAGTTGGTACAGAGATGCCTGGTGCAAGATGATAATTTGTGGCCAGCCAAAAAAAACAAAAAACACTAGTTATAAAATGAAGTTGTGATTCTGCTATGTCTCATGACATAGAATACTGTTAATTATGTCTATTTTTGCCCCTTGTTTTGAGTAAAATTACTTATTTAAATGTCTCTCCCCCAACAACTTCTCTCCCTCTCTCATATATATATATATATATATATATATATATATATATATATATATATAATTTTTATTGAATTCAACTTACAAGATCATTCTTCACATCTAAATCAAAATTTTGGATAAGCAGAACAAAAATGTGTACTTGTGTTCAAAACCTGGAAAATTGCAATAAAAAATGAAACAAACCTAGTAGGTTGAATTTAATAAAACCATATTTAAGTGAAATCTTACTAACTGTTGGTGTTATACACATATATTGCACACCAAAATGGTTCCTCAGTGATGTCTATTTTGGGGTCATAGAATGTTTCATCCCTCCTCGACATCAGAATTTCACTTCCAGCTGAGATTGATCATTTCTCGACTAGTATCCTGGCATAACTTCTGCATTATTGCAAGAATTGTAGACAATATTTGTCTATGCAAATGAGATCTTTTTATTCAATCCTGACCAAATTCTGACCAATCAGTATTTACTTTTCTTCTGACTATTGGAGTTTTGGGCCAATCAGAGGGGTGCATTACATTATAGTTACATCAATTAGTTTGTAACTTAATGATGAAAAATACTACTTACTTATTTCATGCAATAATTATTTATTTTTAAAAGTAATATTCTTTCTTGTCAATGCACTTAATATAATGCATCTAAATTAAATAACATTTATCAAATACTAGCAGTAGAGCCCAGCGTTGCCTGGGGATGTAACAGTAAGAGATAGATCAAGTATCCACCATCATAAAGACTGAAAAATAAAATTGACAAAGATTATTGTTTAAGGTTGACTGACACACATGTCTTAATTAGTTTTTTTTTTTTTTACAAATTGGTCAAACCCAAACTCAAACAAACATTGTTTTCAATCGTTATGAGTCTATTGATTGAATAGAATTTTATTATAAACAATTGTCTTGTAAATGGAATTTTTAAAGCATTCTGAATGTAAAAATAAAGAAAAAAGTGTGCAAGACAATAAGAAATACTACCTGCAAAAAAAAGTGAAGTTTTGTTGAAATCGGTTGAAAAATGTAAGAAATCCGATCCCATATATCAATGAACACACACATACACACAAACAACCTGGGTTTTAAAATAAGTATAACTCAATATGAGTTGTCCCCCTTTCATTCTCGTGATGCCTCTTAATCGTGTTTTCAAATTGATTTTGTGCAAAAACAATTGTGTTTTTCCAATTTTTGGCGCTGTTATAACCACTGCAAGGTAATTTTACGTAGTCCTGTGAAGTTTTGTTGAAATCGGTTGAAAAATGTAGGAAATCCAATCCAATATATAAACGTACAGACACACACACACACACAGACACACACACACACACACACACACACACACACACACACACACACACACACAATCTGCGTTTTATAATAAGTAAGATTTTAAGGAGCAAACATCAAAATGCTAATTTTTGGATATGGGTCAGGAAGAGGGCTTTTCAACAACAGCTCATATTTTTTTTAAAATTGTAACAGGATTCCTGTTACTCCAAAGAGGGTTGGTTTTAAATATTCATATTTTCCAGTGCAGTCCAGCTCATGCGAACCCTTTATACAAGAAATGTTGTAGTGATATATAAATGAGTGCCTAATAAGAATAGCTAAGTCATAATGACTATATAAGTGCCCAAGAAATAAAGAGAGAAGCAGAATATGATATGAGAAATTGACAACTACTGCTGGACTGGAAAAATATGAAGGAAATTACGTGGAAGGTTACTAAATGAGGATGTTGTAAGGGTATACAGGGAGGGAGTAAGAATATTTATCTCTCTCATTCTGTTCATATCTATCGCATTCTGTTCATATCTATCTATTTATCCTGTTCATATCTATCTATCTATCTATCCTGTTCATATCTATCTATCCTGTTCATATCTATCTATCTATCTATCTATCTATCTATCTATCTATCTATCTATCTATCCTGTTCATATCCTATCAACCTATCTGAATCTGTTCATCTATATCTATCTCAATCTGTTTATATCTATCGACATCAATCTGTTTATCTATCTATCTATCTATCTATCTATCTATCTATCTATCTATCTATCTCAATCTGTTCATCTGTATCTCTTAATCTGTTCATATATCTATCTACCTCAATCTGTTCATCTATCTCAATCTTTTCATCTATCTATTTCTATCTATCTAACTATCTATCTCAATCTGTTCATCTTTCTCAATCTATCTATCTATCTATCTATCTATATCTATCTATCTATCTCAATCTGTTCATCTATCTATCTATCTCAATCTGTTCATCTTTCTCAATCTATCTATCTATCTATCTATCTCAATCTGTTCATCTATCTATCTATCTCAATCTGTTCATCTAGCTATCTATCTATCTATCTATCTATCTATCTATCTATCTATCAAGGTATGGCAATCTGTTTGTATCCATTTCAGTCTATTCCTATTTGTCTATAGCTGTTTGTTTTTTAATTGTTCACCCAATACAAGGCCAAAGTGCCATTCAAGGTATAGTCCTACTAACTGGGGATGTTGTAAGGGTGTATAGGGAGGGGCATGAATTTGCATATTATATCTATCTATGTACCTATCTATCTCAGTCTGATTCTATCTATCTATCTATCTATCTATCTATCTATCTATCTATCTATCTATCTATCTATCTATCTAAGTCTGATTCTATTTATTTATCTATCTATCTATGCCAATCGGTTCATATTCATCTCAACCTATCCATATCTATCTGTTGTGTAGAAAGAAGACTGACCCATGCTATACTAAATTCTTTCAGATGGACTCTTTCTTTGCCTATGAACATAGTTGCAAGCGGAAAACAAGTAGACCAGATTTTTGGTTTTATTTTTTGGCAAACAGCACAGAGGATACAAATTCTTTTTAGAGGTAAGACTTTGTATTTTCCTTCATTGTTAATCTTTAGTGCCAAATTGACAAGACTCATTACTAAATTCACAACGAAAAGAAAAAACTACCTTAAAAAAGAGCAAAAAGAAATTTTATTCTTAAGGTCAAATTCATTCTTCTAAAATCCCAAATATCCATGCCTTATGAACAAAACTAAACATAAACACCTCAGGTGGAAATTTTTGTCAACTGATGACATTTATAGGCATGTATGTGTTTCAGAGAGATCTGATTAAATCAAAACAAAAATAAAATAAAAATGTACTCTTATCCCAAGAGCTCAGTCTTATATTTGTAAAATCCTCAAGAGCCAAGTAAGTATATATTTCCCACATACCAATTTTTTTCCAAACTCTACAAAGTTTAAACACTTTTAGAACAGACTCTGGTAAATAAGAACATGTTTTAAATAGATAATTATATAGAAAACAGAGTACATGTCACTTAAAGAAATTTAAAGATTGGAGAAAGAGAGAAACGAATAAAGAGGGGGAAGATAAATGTGGAGAGAAAGAAAAGAGTAGAAATGGGAAAGAGAAGTGAAGAGAGAAAGAAAAGGAAAGAGAAATAGAGGATGGGAAAAAGGAACAGCAAAAGAGAGAGAGAATAGAATGGAAAACAGTGAGAGAAAGAAGAAGGATAAGAATAGTAAGTAAGAGAAAAGGAGTATGAAAAAGAGAAGGACTAAGAGTAAAGAGAAGAAAAAAAGAGGGAGAGAAAGAAAGAGAAAAAGAAAGAGTCAGGTAGAAAACTGAGAAGGAGAGTACAAAAGTGAAAAGGAGAAGGAGAAGGAGAAAAAAGAAAAGGGAGAGAGGGAATGGAGCAGAAAAAGAGAGCCAGGAAAAAGGAGAGAATGTGAAAGAAATAGAAAAATATGGAGAGTAGAAGAGAAAAATGGAGAACAAAAGAAGAAAGAGAAAAAGGAAAGAGAAAGGAAGAGAAAAAAAGAAAAAGTGAAATAAAAAGGAGAATGAGAGCCTGAAAGAGAAAAGGGAGAGAGAATGAAAGAGAAAAAGAGAGAAAGTATGAAAAAGAGTTGGAGGGGGACAGAGAAAAGGAGAGCAGGAGTAGGAAAGAGAAAAGGAGAGCAGGAATGTGAAAGAGAAAAGGAGAGCAGAAGTAGGAAAGAGAAAAGGAGAGCAGGAATGGGAAAGAGAAAAGGAGAGCAGGAGTAGGAAAGAGAAAAGGAGAGCAGGAGTAGGAAAGAGAAAAGGAGAGCAGGAATGGGAAAGAGAAAAGGAGAGCAGGAGTAGGAAAAGAAAAAGGAGAGCAGGAATGGGAAAGAGAAAAAGGAGAGCAGAAGTAGAAAGAGAAAAAGGAGAGCAGGAATAGGGAAAGAGAAAAGGAGAGCAGGAGTAGGAAAGAGAAAAGGAGAGCAGGAATGGGAAAGAGAAAAGGAGAGCAGAAGTAGGAAAGAGAAAAGGAGAGCAGGAATAGGAAAGAGAAACGAAGAGCAGGAATAGGAAAGACAAAAGGAGAGCAGGAGTAGGAAAGAGAAAAGGAGAGCAGGAATGGGAAAGAGAAAAGGAGAGCAGAAGTAGGAAAGAGAAAAGGAGAGCAGGAGTAGGAAAGAGAAAAGGAGAGCAGGAGTGGGAAAGAGATGAAAGAAGAGAAAAAAAGAAAGATTGAAAGTGAATAGAAGAGAGAAACGAAGAGGAAAAGCAAATGGGTAAAAATGTTCAAAAAAAAGGATGGGATCATTAATCAACAGCAAAACTTCATGTCAATGGAATCCAAATTTGTGACCTTAAAATATGCCACAACCCGCTAATCCTCACTGTCAATATGTCTGTTCATTTCAGGCATGTGGTAAGTTCTTTTTGCAGTCTCTGGTCACTAATTTACAAGGGTGTTAAAAAAAACTAAAAACATGAAACAACGGGGTATAATAACTTACTTGGCTCCAGATTAAATCCAATTTTAAATTCCACACAAAATTGCTAAGTACATTTAAGTACTTAAACATTGGTATGCAGCAGTTTTTTTGTTTTTTTTTTGTTGTTTTCAGAGACTGAAAGAGCTAAGTAAATATTTCAATGCACAAAATCTATTCATTTTGGGATGATCAAAAAGATCAATAATACTTATTAACTACAAGAAAATAACAAATGTTCAAATTATATTTATACCATATAAAAGAAACTTGAAAAGAATTCACTATGCAAGACTAACTCTTGTTAAGGACTTACATTATTGTAAATAGAAGAAAATTAAATCTGTGACAATTACAAAGAAAATAAACTGCAGAAATAAAGGACTTCACTTTCAATGATAATCAACACTAAAAATAAGGGATTTCGATTTCCATGGTTTTGTTAGTCATGAGAAATATGTGATTTATTTTCCATGGTTAGAAACCTAAGAAATAAAAGATTTTAATTTTCACTCAGTTATCAACACTAGAAACAAGGGATTTTAATTTTCATGGTTACCAACACTAGAAATAAAAGATTTTACTATTTAAGGTTACCAACACTAGCAGTAAGAAATTTTAATTCTCAGGGTTACCAACACTAGAAATAAGGGATTTTGTTTTCCATGGTTACCACTCCCCAAAATAAGTGATTTTATTTTTCATTCTTACCAATGCCAGAAATAAAAGATTTAATTTTTCATGTTTATCAGTGCTAGAAATAAGGGATTTCATTTTACATGGTTATCAGTGCTAGAAATAAGGGATTTTATTTTCCATGGTTACCAATGCCAGAAACAAGAGATTTCATTTTCATGTTTAACATTTTCTGGCATTGGTAACCATGGAAAGTAAAATTCCTTATTTCTAGCATTGATAACCATGAAAAATAAAATCTCAATGCTAGAAACAAGGGATTTCATTTTTCATGGTTACCAATCCCAAAAATAAGTGATTTTATTTTTTATGCTTACCAATGCCAGAAATAAGGGATTTCATTTTACATGGTTATCAATGCTAGAAATAATATAACCAGATATTTCCCAAATTACTTAAGATCATCTGTCTTGAAAATAAGGAATTTTATTATATATCAATTTTTTCTTTCTTTGTGGATGCCATTTTTCACCTTGAGGTGCCATGTCCCTTAAGGATGTAGGCGATCATGGCTCTTCCTAACTTCCTATCCTTTGTAGTTCTTAAACACTACTTGTCTTTTTACTATCCCTACCAGTCACTGTTCTGCCATCCCTTTTCTCAAGCTCATCAGAAGGTTACTCACTCTTTCGCTCCACTTTCAATATGCCTTATGAGTCTCAGCTTTTCTAACAAAGACGTGATTCTGCTGAGAATATGAGGAAGTTTCAAGGAAAATGAAAAGGATAATTATATTTTTAATCAGAACATTTCGGCAACACTTTATAATACATGACAAAAGACTTTCTTATTAAAGTGGGCTTTGATATCTCTGCGATTAAATTTTTTTTTCCTATACATACACATCATAGGTGCAGTTCAGTTAATCATGTGTTTACACATCAGGTGGCAATCAATGACATTGTGTGAAGTGCAGACCTGAAGCCAATGGCTTGGTGGCCATCTTTCAGATTTACCTATTGAAATATATGGCTTTGATAATCTGGTGAGACACTGAATGCAGAGGTGGGGTGAGTGACATACTACGGATAAAGTTTTTCATAACTTATTGGATTTTCTGGGGGATACATTGAGTAATTCCTCTGTATGGTATCTCTCAGAGAAATGAATGTTTCCTGGCAGTGCCGATCTCCTCACCAAGTAACATGCAGCAGGTTGTACTGGATTACATGGTACCAGAAGCAATGAATAACCTGTTACAGGAGATTGTCTTTATCAAGTGCAAAGGCACCAACTGCCTTACTATTTACCCATAACTGCAGGGAGAATTGGATTCATGACTTTCTCAAAAGCAATAGCATAAAGTGAATGAAAATAGTCACAGCCAATTCTTTAGGAAAATCAGTTGCTGCTTGTTCATCAGCTGATGCACTTTCACCTTGCTTCTTAATAGAGTGATAACTTCTTTAAATCTCATAAATCAGGCTTGATTCACTTTAAACTCTATATTTTTCTCATCTGAGTATTTTTAGTTCAGGTCCTCAAAGACAATGCTTTCACTTGAATTATTTCTTGACTAATAACAGCACGCTGATGATTCAACCAAAGAGAAAGAAGTTGTTCAATCTCTTCAAAGATGTTTCCTCTTTTCTTATTGATAACAGTATTCATCATCCCTGGAGCCTCAGATTTAATATGTACCAAAATCTTATCCTAATTGTGAACAATTGTCGATAGTCGTCCAACTCATTCCAAAAGATCGAGCAATTGATATAACCTTTTCACCTTTTACATGGCATTTTATCATAGTAAGTTTATTGTCCAGCATGACACTTAGCACTTGCACTAGGAATTTTCTTAGGAGCCAAATATAAAGTCACAAATGAGAGAGTAGGTGATAAGCAGACGTATACCATATCTATGCCTAAATTAAACTGAATTTCAATTTCGCAGGAATCATGAGTGGCACTGACAATGACGCCAAATAGTAGATATTGGAACTACTGTGAAAAATGCCAATATTGAGCTCTTAAAGACCACTAAATAAGAGAACCCAGAGTCACAGATGTTTTTATATTTCATTCTCTAGGATTTATGATGATTATATTAGCATTTACTGTAAATGTACATTTTTAATATTATTTTATATACGTTTATTGTTATTTATTGTACAGTAATAACATTTTATGTGCTTTTTAGGCTTTTCTAGGGATATTACGACTTCAGTACTTCTGACAGACAGACATAAGGTCAAATAAAATGACTTAAACTTGATTTTTTTTTTCTTATATTCTTTTTGACAAACGATGCATAATCAAGAACA